CCAGTCTGACTCTTGTCTCTTTCATGGGAATTTCTCCTGGAAATTTTAAAGAATCTTTATCTTCACCCTGAAATTTCATGAGGTGTGAGCAGATATGAGCCTCTTTTCATTTTTTGTTGACTTTCTGAGGATCCTTTCAGTCTGTATATTTGCTTCTTCGTTTTGCTCTGAGGAGATGTTGGATTTTCTTTGCTCATTGTCTGTATTTGTTACTTACTCTCTAATGCTCTTAGCATTTTCATAATTTCATTTTGTTCTCTTGATACTTTTCATTCCTTTTCTTCATGATCCTTTTTTGAATATATTTGTATTCAAAACTATTTTCCTTTGGGCATCTTGACATTTATCTTTATTTCTGAGATTCTTTCTTTTTTTTTTTTCAGTTCCTGAGTTCTGTCAACTCTCATTTTGCACCTACCTGCTTTTCCTCTGTTTCTAATCCTGAGCTATTTTGAACTAATTATTCAAGGTGATTTTTGTTTTAATGTGCAAATTCTTGTTTTAACGTTTTAATTCAGGTTAGAGTGTTGTGTTACCATTTTTCATGCTTCATAGTTATTTTTTGTCTCTTGTTTTTGGCAGGGAAAATATTTTCATCTGCTGAAATGTTTCAATTCTCATTTTCTTTTCTAATAGCTTCGTATGATGTTGTCTGACATTTGTGTTCATTTTGAAATGTCATATTTTGTTTTGGACAATCCTGCAGGTAGGAGGAAAGATTTGAGGTTTCTTAATTCAAAAGCATCCTCTTCTGTTGCATTGGTGAAGTTCAGTATTTTCAGTAGTAAAAAAGAAAATTAAAAAAAAGAAAATGAAAAAAAAATAAAGGTAACCTGAAAGAAAGAAAAATCCCAAATAAACAAACAAACAATAAATAAATACTATGTCCAGAGAACTTACAAGAGAAAAAACAGCCACCAAGCATATTTTAAGTGTTTGGTTGTGATAGTACTAAAATAAGTAAAACAGTGTAATAGTTTTTTGTCTATCAAATTATTATAGAGTTCATCTAATTCTCCATGCTGCATTTTCTGGAAAGCAATTTACCAACATGTACCAAGAGCCTTAAACATATTCGTATCCTAAGAAACTATTTTAAAATGCAGGACAAGATTTTTGTTCAGGATTATTCATTACTACATTATTCATAACAGGAAAGCACAGGAAAGGGCTGAGTGTCTTATGTTTAAATAAATAGTGTGTAGTTATTTTACATATGTAATTGTGAAAAATTTTAAAGAATACTTGAATTGTCTGAGAAAATAGTTAGAGTACAAAAACTTAAAGCTATATACAGAAGGATCCTACATGAAATGTATAAAGGTGTAGGCAACAGATTGAATAAATATGTTAAAATGTTAACAGTGTTTATATCTGATCATTGGTTTATGGGTAATGAGTTTTTCTGTTTATTTCTTATATATACTTGAATTTTTTCAAGTTTGGCATAATGAGAAATTTTAAGTCAGAAACAAATTACAAGGAAAGTCAAAGTTGTCCTTTTTCCAGTCACCCCCTTCTCTTGTCCAAGCCTCCTAACTAGATGCCCAAGGCCTGCCTTGTTTTTCAAGAGGAGGAACGTCTTTCATTCCACTGCTGCGGATGAATGGCCTATGTGGGAGTGCTCTTGGTACTCGCTCCCATGAAAGTGTCATTCATCAGGAACCATGAGGGAGGCAGATGCTCACTCTTACAGGAGAAGAAAGCACTACTCAAGCTGCAGAAGCAGCATCAATGGGGACAAATGAGGAAGGGAAGATGCAAAGGTGTTACTGGGGGAAAAGAAGGTGAATGTCACCTACTTCATAATTTTCTTTAGGGCCATCAGTGTGCACCTTCCGCGTTGCTCAGACGTTTTTATTTTGTTCAGAATGGGAAAAAAGCTTATCAGAGTGTTGCTACAGAGACTGAAAACTGCAGCTTGCTTGCACACAAAAAATTGCCAGCTCCTCTTGTGGGAAATCAGCAACAAAGAGAGGGAGGCCCAGGTTTCTGGAAATTGAGTTTATTAGGAAGAATATTTTGTTGACTTCTGCACATCATTTCAGATTGAGGAGACCTTTCTTCATTAGGTCAAGCTCACCAGAAAAGGTAAGAGAAAAATATTTCTTATACAGGCTCCTGCAGGAATAGATTAAACCCAGATACCAGCTATCTTTCATGACATGAATGTGAAACAGGTTCCACATGGCCATTAGTAGAGAGACTTCTGAAGGAAAACATGAGTGTAAAACAGGTTTTAGTATCATCATTTAAAAAACATGTGTCTATGACCAATCACGAGTGGTTGGGTGCTTAGAAAGCCTGAAAGCTCAGTCTGGGCTCACTAGTCAAAGGCAGCCTGAGGGAGTAAAAAGAACCAGACAAAGGATGTTCACACAACAATGAATCTGGAGAAAAGGTTGCACATCATTTGGTCTTACTGATTCCCAGGCACACATAGTTCATTTTCTTTGTGCTTTGTGTAATTACTTATCTGTGTACCCTGTCAATAAGGTGGTCTCTGTTTTTTTAGGAGTCCCAGTTTTCCTTCAAGACACAGGTATGAAGCTCTCTTTGACAGATTGTCTTCTCTTAAACTTCAGGTCTGTAGTTGGCATTTCCTTTTAGCATTTATGTTTTCCCCCAAGCATTCAATAATCCCAGGATGATTGAAGTGTTTTATAGGAAGTCACATATGGGTTTCTGAACCTTCCTAGATGGGTGTAGTAAAGATGATAGGTTTGGAGAAACTCTACCTCTCATAGGTTTTTAAAGAAAATGACCTTTGGTACTCTGAAAGAGGCAGTTAAGCAGAAATTCCAACTGCCGGCCCTTTAGATTTTCTAAGCATGCTTCTGGACTTCCTAGCAGGTGATTGGCTGTTGCCAAAGTTAACTGAACTACTGAACCAGTAAACTGAAAACTCAACTCCTCATTTTCAATCTTCTTTCTCAGTCTACATGGAAGAAAGCTTAGGAAAACACAAAAAAGAAAATTGCAACTAGTTGGACATCCTGTTAGGAGGGAATTGCAGTAAGAAATATTAAAATAAGGGCCCTATTACAGTATGAATTTACAATATCATCACTATTTCATAGTGGAGTAACTCCAATGAGCCAGAAGCTGGAAGAGGCAGGTTCCTTCTTTGGGGCAATTCCCAATTTGGTGTTAGAGAAGAGGAAATGCCCAGATATGTGACTTACATTACGTAAAACTCTTAAGTGGGAATGACAACTGGGGGTACTTTGCTAACAGGAGGAGTAGGGAGTGGGAGAAGGATAAAGAAGTGGCTTTAATACATAGGATATGGGTCAGAGCTAGTTTTTATCAAGTGTTTATTCTGGGCAAAGTAGCTGTTAAAGGTTTTAAGGATATTCATATAATTCTCACAACCACCCTGTGAAGTGGCTATTATCCCTATTTTACTGAATAGAGGAAGTACCTTGCCAGAGATCAAACATTTTAGTGGGCAGAATGGATCTTAGGCAAAAGTCTATGCTTTTTCTCCAACATGAGATAATTGTTGAAAGAAGGTAGTACCAAACTGAGAACAGTTGTGATATTGAAGAATGAGTAGCAGACTAACAAATGCCTGCTGCAGAATTAGGATGTGTACATTGGCAGTTTGGGTGAGAGGTGAAATCTAATCATGTCCTTGATAGAGTCATGTTTTTAAATTTTTCTTCTGGGGCATCTTTGTATGCTTACTCATCTACTGAATTAGGAGACTTTGGTTCTAAGATCATGTCTGTCACTAGCTAGTAATGGACTTTGGACGTGTTACTTAATGTCCCTTATATCAGTTCTAAAGTACATACCGTCTCTAAATTAAAAAAAAAAAAAGAACAAATAGAGGCTGAATTACTAGAATTAGGGGATGGGCAGCTAATAGCAAAGCCGTAGAGAGCCCAGAGATGGCTCCTTAACTGTCTCTCCCTTAAATTATGCTCTCTCAGGTTTCTTTTCCTTAAAGAAAACATTGAAAGCGTTTTAAAGTAGGTTTTTAGTTTTTTGGTCAAATATGGATACAACCAAATAGATACAACTACTCAAATGAAATTAGAGATCTTTTTATATTTATTTGAGAGAACTGAGTTGAAACAACTTTGAGGATAACTTAATAATAGCTCATCTAAACTGGAGCCCTGGAGCACACCACATTTCAGTTTTCCAGGGAGGAGCAAAACTGAGGAGTTCTGGTAATGGTGGTAGGTCATTTAGTGTGAATGTTAAGCCAAATAATACAAGATGTTCCTGGTAAGGGCACTATTTTCAAAGTTTCACAGTCATAAGTTATCTATTTAATGGTAAGTTCATTCTTACACAGAAAGTATAATTCAGCATAGCACCATGCTGATACAGTTTTGATGTACTCTGTTTCATCTTAGCCTTGTGAAAACAAGTTATTTTCTCAGATAACCAAAAAAAAAAAATGCCCTCAAAGAAAAAAAAGCAGTTGTCCCTTAATCCACATGATAAATATGATGACTTTAAAAATCCAACAAATGTTTTAGCTTTTATTGTCAATTAAATGTATTGAACCAAGCAAATCAATTTTGAGGGAGGAAAAAAACATTAGTTAAATTGAATTTACTCAGCAGTTGTCAGAAACGACACAGGGTCTGGATTTTGCTCTACCTGCAGCTGGTAAGTCAGTAAGTTACTGTTTCTTGGATGCAGGCAAAAGACACAAGACTGCTAGGTCAGAGACAAAGGACTTTATCACTCACAGCAAAAATGGTAGCCAGAGAGTCAGCAAGATGCTCTTTCTCATTCCCCTGTCCTCCTACCCGCAAATCCCATGGAGAAGATATCCATTATGCAAGCTGCATTAGTTTATTAGGGCTACTGTGACAAAATGCCACAGGCTGGGTGGCTTAAAGAACAGAAATTTATTGACTCAGTTTTGGAAGCTTGAAGTCTAAAATCAAGGTGTTGGCTGGGTTGGATCCCTCTATGAGCTGAGAGGGGAGGATCTGTTATTGGTCTCTTTTCCTGGCTTGTAGGTAGACGGCCATCTTCTCACTGCATCTTCACATCATCTCCTCTGTGTGTGTGTCTGTGTCTAAATTTCCTCTTCTTACAAGGATACCAGTCATTTTTGGATCAGGGTCCACCCTAATGATCTTATCTTAACTTAATCACTTCTGTAAAGACCGTGTCTCCAAATAATATGATCACTTTCTGAGGTATATGGGGGTTAGGACTTCATCGTGAATTTTGGTGGAACACCATTCAGCTTCTACCAGATGCGTGGTTACACATCTAGTAGGGTGCGTTACAGTGGAGGAATACTTAGCTTGGGTGATGCATCATGGAAACAAGCCTGCTCTTGTTCAGAGGGGATATTACCTCATCCTTCAAGGTTGCTTGCTGAAAACACAATTCTGAGAAAAGACCTGGGTAAAGAGTGTCAGGGCCTTGCATTCTTGACACATAGCCAGAACATGCAGGGATGTTTGGGACCCATGTGGATTGTCTGTCTCAAAGCAATACAGTTAAAATCTCAGATGAGGGAGCAACTGTGACAGCATCAGTCTTTACCAACTCGGGTTCTGCTGTACACAGCTGTAGAATCCATCACACCTCTCCAATAGTCTTCTACACTGGAGGAAAGCCTCAGCCACAGGTCCTTAGTTTGCAATAATTATACTTATAAATATCTTTATAATACCAGTCAGGAAGTAAGTGTGCAGCTTAGTTAATTATTATGTTGTCTACTTTTGTCAACATAATGGGAAATATATTTAACTTAGAGGAATAGATGATTTCTTTACTGTGTAGTTGTTTATAGAAAAAAGTACTCAAAAATATGTTCAGAGTAATTGAATGGAAATAACTCTTATTTCTTTCAGTAGATGGACTTGCCACTTATATATGTTATAATTTTATTTTTGAACATATTTGATTTTTCACCAGGAAAAATATATTATAAAGGTAAGTTTCAGATTCTCTTACTCTTTATTTTCTTCTTAGGAGTCCCCCTTTATATTTCTTCCTCACTAACAGATAAAATTAGTTTCTTTTAGTACTTCTTTGCCTTATCTTTCCATTTTTCCTATGTATTATCTACAGTATTCTGGTCCAGAGATTTCTGATAATATCATTGTGAATCTATTGTTATTAAATTGTATACATAGACTTTTCTTTGATGATGGTGTCTCAAAATTTATAAATCATGGACTATTTCAAGTTAAGGAGCATTTTCTATTTGCCAAATTTTAATTATTTGAATAGATCTTTTTGATTTTTCCTCTGTGAATGGTATGAACTATAAACAATTAAAATTGAAGAGAATTTTCTGAAAGTAATAGATGGATTAAATTAATCAGTAGGACATTTATTGTGGAAAAATTTTGTAAAAGGAACAAGACTATCTCCCCTTGTATAGATTATTTATATTTTATATCATCTTGGACTGGATCTACTAGAACAAAGTAGATACTCAATAAGAAAATTGTTGATTGAATAATGGAAAGGTGGATTCAGGCCATCTTCTGTTCAAAGGTGTGTTGCAAAATTGCTTGAGTTCTGGGATGACCCAGTGCCAGTTCCTATATCCTATATTCCTATATTCTACTAGAGAATATATGACACATGCATGGATAAAATCTAAGATTGAAAAGTCACAGGCAAAGTTATGAGATTTCAGAGGAGGGAGAGTTTACTTTCACCTGGAGTGGGAGGTGTCAAGGAAGGCTTTGTACAAAAGATAGTCAATTTTGCTATTAAAAAAGTGGGTGATATTTGCCTATGCATGCATGGGGAAGTGTATTCTGCAAAGACAATATCAAGATAAGTGGTGAATAAAGTCATGGAGGTAGGAAACCATATAATGTGAGGGGAGCAGTAAATAGTTCAGTTTGACTAGAATCAAGGGATAGAAGTAAAATATTTTGGAAAGATAGGAAACTGGCTCATATCAAGGAGGTACTTGACAGCTAGGCTAAAAATTTGGGCTTTACTCTATATTCATTGGGGAACCATTTAAAATGACTGGGTAGGGGAGTACCATACCATAATCGTGGTTTAGGAAGATCAATATGGCAGAATTATGTAAAATGAATTGTGATAGGGAAAAATGGGAAGTAAGGAGAATCACAGTAGTTTACATCATATCTTCAGTCATGAAGTTAACTTTTTTGGTCATGTATCAGCAAAAATATGTGGAGCTTACTTCTCCAATATTTGCATATTTATTTTAAAATTATGTACTTGTACTGCTGTACTAATATATTGTACACCTTATAAACCTATATAAAATTAAAAGCAGGTGAGAAAAGATTAAATAATATTTTAAAATTATTATAAAGTATACTTATTAATATCACAAAACTCCTTGCTCTAATTAAAAATTTTTTTTTACCAGTTTTAAGATCTTCACTGGGAACAATGTGATTTGAATATATGTTTTAAAATCTTGGAATGAAACTTTATAGGTTTGGATATCTGGTTCTAATTAAATTTGTTTTGATATTTGACTTTAATTGACTTAAAGTAAAAAATGAACTTCACAAATTTATGTACATCTAAATGGAGTGAGTGCATGTTGGCTTAACCAAGTAATCCGGATACTCATCTTTCAATCCCATCTATCAACTTTGTAAAGATATCTGTTGAAAAAATTTTAATAAATTTCCATCTTTCTGTATGTCAATCAATTTTTTTCATTTTAAACAAATGATTTCCAACTTCATTGAAATTCTTCATTTGAAAGATTTAAACCAAGTAAAAAATCTGTTTTCAAATTTTTAAAGGGTGTTAGATATGACAGTTTTTAATAGGTGATGTATTTATCAGATTTCTGACAACAGATTCACATAATAATGGAAACATTTCCTACTGCCTATATCCTCTCTGGATCCACCAATTATGTAACATTGACTTTCAATCTCTGAGCACTTGTCTGGGTCCTTTAGAGCCTCCTTCCTTCCATTACATTACCAGGAATCTCTTACCTACAGTTCTAACAAGGGAAAAAGCTTCTCGTATCCCAAGCGATCTTTGAGTTCTTCATCAGAAATTTGATAATTGATTCTTTCATCTTAAAAATCCATCTGTGCTTTGAAATTCTTTCTGCTGAGATCCAGATGCCATTCAGAGAGACCTTTGAGGATAGGATCCTAGATGACTTGATGTTAGTTATTTCTCACAAGTAGCCCACAGGAAGCATTTGTATGTCTCTTGCCCCAGAAAATTTGGGCTGTGCAGGACTCCCAACATAGCCACCTCCTTCCCATCAAACCATCTCCCATCCTCTCCACAAAATCATTTCTTGCCTTTTTCCAAGCAGTAGTATAAGTTGACACCCCAAATTAGAGAAATACGTGTTACATTGTTGAGTGGTTCTGTCAAAGCCTCTTTTCTCAGACTCAAGATAAGGAGAAGGAAGGAATAAAGGATTATGGGAAGATGGCAGCAATCTGTCTCCCACCTAGACAAGAATTGAACTGGAAGAATATGTCTGATGTAACTATATTTGAACTTTGAAATCTATTGATGGCTTACAACTTCCAGGGGAAGGGGCAGTAAACTGCATTAATTTTAGTCATTATCAACTTGTAACACAGTAGAATTTACCCATCAACTGCCCTCCCCCTGTGGTGGGCAGCTGTGCATGTGTTCTTGGAGCAGAAGCACATGGCTGTGGAAGCTAGGATGGACAAAAAGGATCCTGTCTTCCAGGCATCAGGAATCTGCACTTTGATCGCTAGTTGCTGCTTCTGATCACAGAGGTGAGCCAAAGAGGAAGGCTGCCATTGTTGTCAATTTCCCCAACAACTTCAGGTTGTTGCAAGCCCCTCTCCCTCTGCTGAAGTGATTTTTCAGGGGACTTAAAGGGTCAGTGCCCTTTCTTCCCATTCATTTTCCCCTTTTGGGAACCAGACATTAAAAACTAGGACATTCAAAAACAACTCTATATAGGGTAAACTTGAAAGTGACCACACATGCCCAGGGAAAGACACAGGCTCACAAAAGATTTTAGGAGACCCTAAGTTTATACCTTGGGCTGATCCTCAGCCTAAAAATAGCCTACAGCAATCAAAAAATAACAAAAAAAAAGTAAACCCTGGGAAATGGAAGAATCTGATTTCCTGAGTTACCACGCTATTAGATTCAAGTGTCCAGTTTTCAACAACAAAAAAACCCATAAGGCATACAAATAAACAGGAAAGTATAGCCCATACAAAGGAAACAATAAACAGAAAATGTCCCTGAAAAAGATCTTGTGGCAGTCCTGGTAGACAACCATCTTTCTTAAAAATAACTATAGGAAGGTGTGGAGAAGGTCAAGAAAATAATGTATGAATAAAATTGAAATATCAATAAAGAGAAAGAAAACCTAAAAAGAAACCGAAAAGGACTGCAGGAGCTGAAAAGTACAGTAACTGGAAAATTCATGAGAGATTCAAAGACAGATTTGAGTAGGCAAACTAAAGAATGGGTGAACTTGAAGATAGAACAATGTAAATTATCAAGTATGAGGAGTAGAAAGAAAAAGGATTGAAGAGTAAGAGACCTGTGGGACACCATCAAGTATGGGGGTAACAGAAGGAGAAGAGAGAGAGAAAGGGACAGAGATAATATTTGAAGAAATAATGGCTGAAAACTTCCCAAATTTGATGGAAGACATGAATATAAATATCTAATAAGCTCAATGAATTCCACGTAAGATGAATTTGGAGACTAACACTGAAACACATTATAATCAGGCTTTCAAAAAAAACAAAGAGAGAATCTTGAAAGCAGCAGGGGAGAAGTGAGTCATCCAAGCGTGAGGAAGAAATTAAAACATTTCCAGATAAAAGTTGAAGGAGTTTATGACCACTAGACCTGCTCTGCAAGAAATGCTCAAGGGAGTTCTGCAAGGTGAATGAAAAGACACTGACAGTAGCTTGAAGCCTCTATGGAGAAGTAAAGATCTCAACAAAGGTAAATACACGAGCAGTTATAAAATACTAGTAGTATTTTAATGATGGATTTAGGAAACTAACACATTAAAAAAAAACTAATGTAAAAGCTAGTATTACCTAATCTTATTTCTACATAATTTAAAAAATGTATGCATTTAAAATAACTATTAGTTTACGTTTGGGGGCACACAATGTATAAATATGTAATTTTGTAACATCAACAACTAAAAGGAATAGGGACAGAGCTGTAAAGGAGCACAGTTTTCATATGTTCTTGGAGTTAAGCAGCTGTATATTCAAATGAGAACATTTACCTTTAGGATGTTAAATGTAATGCCCACAGAAAAATTAGCTGTAGAATATACACAAAAGAAAATTAGAAAGGAATTTAAATGTTTCACGACAAAAAAAAATCAACTAAACACAAAAGAAGGTAGTAATGCAGGAAATGAGGGGGTAAAAGTTGAAGGCATATAGACAACTAACAGGAAAATGGCAGCAGTAAGTCTCTCCTTATCAGTAATTACTTTAATTGTAATTAAACTCTCCAGTCAAAAATGAAGATTGGCAGAATAAATAACAACACATGATCCAACTCTGTGCTGTCCACAAGAGATTCATTTATACCAAGATAGGAAGGGATCTTCCTCACAGTCTCCCTGTTTGAAAGAGGAGTCACCTTCGTATCAGTAGCTCTCTATTAAAACACAAATTCTCTCTCCAGTCTCCAACTCCTGTTCCTTTTATATGTCTGCCATGGTTGAGGGGTTTCAGTCAAGAACTGGCAACCTTTGAAAAATCTCATCATGGCCTAGCATGTGGCACGTTTTATTTTAGTGTTCAGTCAAACCTTCCTTTTTAGTGTCCTGATACTGTATCTTTAAAATGAAAAATGGTGGAAATTTGAATCTTCTCTGGAGTAATGTGAATGTAAAATATACAATTATAATTTTTATTCCTTAAAAATATTTTCTGGTTTTGAAAATATTTCTTTTAGTGGAAATTCTTCTGTCGGTGGCCTAAAATATATATATTTTTTGTATTATCTAGGTGGTAAGGAGAAACACTTTGGTTGTGCTAGCCAAGGATTCCCCCAAAATAATGAAATAATAAAGTTGTATCGTTCCTCAGATGACTTGGTAAGGACCACTGATAGCATATGGTGCGACCCCTCACATTACTTTTGACTCCATGTGTAAAACCAGTAGCGCTGCACTTTTCAGATACCTTCTACTATGTTCAGACTTCTATATAAATAATAACCCTTTCTCTCCTTTCTATTCCATTCCACTTGAATCAGGTAAAAATATCTCATTAGTTATTGAACAGCCTGGGTGATTTCGCTTTGTTTTTTAAAAAAACTTTCCTTTTTAAAAGTTTGGCTGCAATGATCCTCATTTTTTTTTTTATGGGTATGATTTAGCCTTTTGAAGTTTGACAGATGTAGTCTATTAGAGAAAAAGAGTTACCTCACATGGCCTTGAGAAAGAATCTTTCCCTTTTATAACAAGTACCACATTGCAGTTGTCATTCTGGGTAAGGAATGATTTGATTCTTTTGATTCAAATAATGGCTTTAAACACACACACACAGACACACATACCCCCAAAATAAAATAAAATGTACAGTTAAGATTGCCATGCAGCAAATGCTAACAAAAACATGTTTATAAGAAATGCACAGATTGTCTAAAAATCTATGATAAATATAATAAAAACAAAGAAAAGCACCCTATGCGGACAAAAGCATTTATCCCAAAGTCTGCTTTGACTCAATTCCCAGTTGCTTCTTGATATGCCAAACATACATTTATTTTTTTATTTACAACTTGTTTAAAGTGTATTCCCTTTGAATCAAAAAATTTGGTTTTTAGAAATTGAATTTTGGAAATTTTCCATGGATAAAGAGTGGGCTTTAGAGGAAGAGAGACCTACAAAGCTGGCATCAGTGGTTGGTCCTGCCATGTACGGTCTGTGTGCCCTGGAGCAGGTTACTGAACCATTCTGATCTTCAGTTTTGTCTTCTAAAAAAGGGAATCATAACGTACTTTTGGATAGTTGTGATGTAATAGTTCCAGAAGCAGTATTAGTAGAAATAATAGCTAACATTTTTAAAGTGTTTATGTGTGCCAGGATTTTTTAGTGTTTTCTGTTGATTATGACATTTATTGTGTAAGTACTGTAGAGGAATACTGAACCTATTCTTTTAGATTCAGTGCTGGGGCCTGTAAAATAAGCTGACAAAAGACAAATTAACAAGGGGAAAAAACAGTTCATTTACACATGCAAAGTGTATACTCCTGGGAGAATTCAGTGATGAATAACTTAAAGGGGTGGTTAGTTTTTATGTGCCATACTGACAAAGGGCAGTAAATCGTAGAGAAATGACAAGACAAAGGAAAACGGGTTTGGGTTCATCTTCTTTCTAATTCTCACCAAAATGTAGGTTCCAAAAGGGCAGGAATTTTTGTCTGTTTTGTTCACTTCTGTTTCCCCCAGCACCTATAAACTGCCTGATTCATAGTAAGATCTTGGTAAATATTTTTGGAATGCATATGTTTTTATAATTAGGGAAACTGAAACTCAGGTAACTTGCCCAAACTCATTTAACTAGTAGGTGAACTAAATGAGATAAAGCTCTTAATTGGTTTTTAGTAAAATCTACCATTTGTGATTGCTACATTTTCATATACCTCCTCAAAATTGGGGATCCAATAGAATGCAATAAAATGACTTTTGCTTTATACATTTTATTTATTTTTTATTTAAACACAAAATAATGATTTTAATAAAATAGGAATTTCTACCTGTGGCACATGTGGCTTTGATGCTAGGTTTATTGAATGTAACAGCTTTATGACCATTTCTATGAGAGAAAAGATTATTATAAAGATGAATTGAAGACTATTAGGTCTGAGTTCTGAAAGAGTACTTTTCAAAATAGTTTTTTTTCCCTCGTTTAGACTGGAGTTACTAAAGATAAGTCTTTTGCAGCATCTCCTTTTTAAAGATTTCTCCTCACTTTTAAGTTAATGTATGCTTCTCTCCATCAAATTGTCATTTTTTTTCCTTCTTTCCTAAAGAAAATCCAGTGTTTTTTACATCATGAAGGTGAGCTTACTTCAAAGGAATTTCTAAGTGTGTTCACATCAAGAGGCCTCGCTCCCAGTTTGAGAATCATAAACAGTACATATACTGGTGTCTTCCAGTTTAATTTGACCTTGGTAATTACATTTTACTTTATTCTTATTTTGTAAATACATTTAAAAATTATAAAAATTACATTTTCTTTTATTCTGAAGCATACTCTTCCTTATAGGATGTGTTTTTAGAAAATAGCAGTTCCAGTACTATTGCATCTATAAATGTTTTAAACCCAACAATATAGTGTTATGCTTTTTGCTTTAAACAGTCATATTTTTTAATTAAGAGAAGATAAAATACATATTTTTTATTACCTACATATTTACTATTTCCGCTGCTCTTCATTCTTTTCTGTAGATAGAAGTTGCCATGGGATGTTATATTCCTTCAGCTTGAATAACTTCTTTTAGCATTTCTTACAGTGCAAGTCTGCTGGCAATGAATTCTCCGGGAGCTTTTTTCCCCTTGAAAATGTCTTTATTTCACCTTCATTTTTTGGGGTAAAAACTTTATTAAGATAATTTACAAAGCATATACTTCACCGGCTTAAAGTGTACAACTAAATGGTTTTTAGTCTATTCATAGTGTGTGCAGCCATCACTACTATCTAATTTTAGAACATTTTCATCACCCCAAAAAGGAAGCCTGTACCCATTAACAGTCACTTCTTAGCTCATCCTCTACTCCCCCACCTTAAGCAACCACTTATCTACTTTCTGTCTCTGTAGATTTGCTTATTCATGTAAACATTTCATGTAAATGAAATCACATACTGTATAGTCTTTTGTGACTGGCTTCTTTCAGTTAGCATAATGTGCTTGAGGTTCAGGTGTCAGTACTTCATTTCTTTTTATTGTCAAGAAATATTCCATTGTTAGCAGTACCACATTTTGTGTATTGGTTCATCAGTTTGATGTACATTTGGAGTTTCCATTTTTTGGCTATTATGAATAATGCTGTTATGAACATTCTTGTACAACTTTTTGTGTGGAAATAAGGTTTTTATTTCTCTTGGGTATATCTAGAAAATGGAATTGCTAGGTCATATGGTAACTCTATGTTGAACTTTTTGAGGAACTGTCAGACTGTTTTTCCAAAGTGGTGGTACTATTTCCACCAGTAGCATATTAGGGTTCAAATTTCTCCACATCCTCACTGACACTTGTTATTGTCTGTCTTTGTTGTTATAACCATCCCAGTGGGTGTGAAGGCCTACCTCATTATGGTTTTGATTTGCATTTTCCTAATAATGAATGATGTTGGGAATCATTTGAATATTTTCTATGTGGAGTTATCTCTTTAGATTCTTTGCCCATTTTTAATTGGGTTGTCTTTTTATTATTGAGTTATGAAAGTACTTTATATATTCTCAATAAAGTCTTTATCAGATATTTGATTTCCAAATATTTTCCCCACTCTGTCATTGTCTTTTCACTTTCTTGATAGTGTCCTTTGATAAACCATAGTTTTTTAATGAAGTTTAATGTATCTATTTTTTTGTTGTTACTTGTTCTTTTGATGTCATATGTAGGAAACCATTGCCTAGTTCAAGGTCACAGATATTTACCACTGTTTTTTCTAAGAGGTTCATAGTTTTACCTTTTACATTTAGATCTTTGATTCATTTTTATTTCATTTTTGTGTGTGGTGTGAGGTAGGGGTCCAAATTCATCGTTTGGCATGTGGATATGGAGCTGTCCTAGTACCATTTCGTTGATGACATTATTCTTTCTCTATTGAATTGTTTTGCCAGTTTTGTGCAAATCAACTGACTATAAATGTGAGGGCACATTTCTGGATTCTCAATTCTATAGCATTGACCTATACATCTATCCTTATGCCAGTATCTTGTTGTCTTGTCACTGTTGCTTTGTGGTAAGGTTTGCCATCGAGAAACATGAGTCCTCCAATTTTGTTATTTGATTGTTTTTCTGTTAGCCTAGCCTCCATATGAATATTGCTAGTTTCCATGTGATTGTAGGAGATGTTTGTCAGTTTTTACAAAGAATCCAGCTGGAATTCTGATAGGAATTGTACTGAGTCTGTAGATCTGTGTGGGGGGTATTGCCATTTCAATAACGTTAGCTCTTCCAATACATGAATATGAGGTGTCTTTCCATTTAGTTAGATTTTCTTTAATTTCAATAACATTTTGTAGTTTTCAGATACTATTTTATACTTCTTTTGTTAAATTTATTCCTAATATTTTATTCTTTTTAATACTATGTAAAGGGAATTGCTTTCTTAATCTCATTTCCAGATTACTCTTTGCAAGAATATAGAAATACAATTAATTTTTATATGTTGATATTGTATCTCATTTATGAATTCTAATAGGTTTTTAGTAATCACTTTAATTTTTGAACAATAGTTTTGCCAAATATAGAATTTCTGGTTAACTTCGTTTCTTTTCAGAATTTTGCGTATTTCATTCTGCATTTTGAATATGTTGACACCATTGTTTCGGAATGAGAAATCAGCTGTTAATTTTATTATTGTCCCCTATATGTAATGTGTCATTTTCCTTTGATGCTTTTAATATTTTCTCTTTGCCGCCTCTGTACTTGTGTTGTTCAAGCATTTGGGAAGAGTTTATATTTACCTCTTAGATTACCATTCTTGCAGTCCCTTGCTCCTGAGATTTTCCTTTCAAATTCCCCCAATTCTCTGTCAACAGCAGCCTCTGTTCTCTGACACATCAAGCCACTAATGCTTCAGCTTTGTACTACCTGAGCTCGGTGTATGGCATCCCACTTTGTGACTATATTATATGCAACTGATGAACATTTTAGTTATTTCCAATCTTCTTCTATTACAAATAATGATGAAAAATATCCTTGAACACATTTATGTCACACCTAAGTGAGTAAAATGTAGGATAATATTCCTGAGTGAATATACCCTGAGTGAAATTACTGGGTAGAGTGTATATGCATTGGATATTTTTGTTTAATTTTCTTTTTTAAATGATAGGATAGAATATGCCAAAATAAGTGTTGCTATTAACAATGTAAAAATGCTGTTTTCTGATGTCTTCTTTATTCAAGTTCAGAGATCAGATTTACTGGTTGATTGATATTCCCAGAGAAAACATTACAAAAAATACAGGTAAGAGTGATCTGAATTGATTCTTTTACTTATAGGCCTGGATTGCCAAATTTAGCAAATACAAAACATTTATTATGTTAAAAAATTATTTGGTATCCCATGTAAATATCTCATGTAGTATTTGGGATATACCTATTAAAATTATTTGTGGTTCATCTGAAATTCAAATTTAACAGGGGTTTCTGTATTTTATCTGGCAATTGTATTATACATAGAGTGTTCTGATATGCATGGCATTTATATTATTCTTTATTTCAAGTTATCTCTTTTCTACAATTTGAAATTTGTAGTATGAGAAATTCAGGTACCAATGAACTTTACTGAAATGGAATTGTTCATCTTAAAATGTTATAAGCTATAATATGGAATGCATTATTTTACTTATAATCTACTGTTAAATATTATGTGACAGCCTAACTTTATGCTAATACAAATACCCAAATAGAAAGAGGAGGAAAGTCAAATTCCAGCAGTTGTGAGTACTGAGCTAGTAGACTGAGCTAGTAGATCTTCAGGCATGAGATGCATTCCCATAGCTTAAAAAAGATGGGAGGCGTTTTTATTTTAATATGGTAGGTGAAGGAAACAGAAACCAACTTGACTTCACTTAAGGAAAAAGAAGTTTGTTTCTATCACTGAACCCAAACATAAAATGCAGCTAGGTAATAGGAAGGAATTAGAAGAAACAGAAAAGCATGAAGAACCCAGAGAATATTTTCGTTCTGTTTCTTCATGACATTTTCTGTTAATCTTCATTTATTTTATTTTTTTGTAGACTAAGCTGCCTCACTGCAGTCATATATATATATATATTTCCTAGGGGAGAGCCCAGTTGCAAACTCACAGGGGAGTATCTTCATTTGGCCTAGTGTTGATCCAGTATCCACTTTTGTGTCAATCAAATGTGGCAGGTGATGGGAGAATCAGACAGGCCAACCCCTCTAGGTATGGGAGTAAGTAAAGGCCGTATGAAATTGTGTGTCCTATAGAGTAAAGAGTGGACAGAAGTTGAGAATAAGGAAGAAATGATAGAAAAGACTATATAAGGGAATATCAAAGATAAAAGTCTGCAAAGAAAGCCCCAGTGTTGTAACATCTGATATAGATTATATCACTCTCTTCATCTTCTATTCATCTCAGTTTTTCAAATTAATCTAATGGGAGATTTTGGTGATATTTTTCAAAAAATTCATTCTGAAAATTGCATTCCTTTTCAGAAATCTTACTTCTCCTCAATATAACGATGAATTTTTCTAGCTACTTGGCATAATATTGACATTAGTTTGATAGATGAAGAAGTGAAGATAACTTGTTATTTTAAGTTCTTCTATTTTTCTATTTATAAACTTTAATTTCAGAAATGCAATGATTCTAAGGTCACCCAGGCAGGAATAAAGGTGATCTGAGAACTTAAGTATTTTATGGAAAGTGATCAAATGAGCTCTGGCTATCCAGACACAACTCCCTGGAGTACATAAAAAGAAATATATTTGAGCTTGTAATGTAATAGGAGAGGATGGTCTAATATTAGTAATATGCTAGAAATCAGGAAAAAATGTTGAGGGGAAATATTTGCTCATTCAGTTTCCTTCTTAATCATATCTTACTAATTTTCATGTCATGAATTTGAATATTATGTGTATGTAAAATCTTGGGAAGGGTAATTTAGGTAACATCAACAACAAAGGTAACCAAAGAGTCATCATAGTAGTAGTGAGAACCAGCAGGTAGCATTTATTGAATTTGTATTATATTTCAGTACCACTCTAAACACTTTGCCTATATTAACTATTTATTCCTCAGTATGTGGTAGGTACTAATTTTATCTCCATTTTAAAATGACTTAACTGAGGCTCATGGAGCTATGTGGAGATCTAGTGATAGCTGGAAAGTGTTGAAGGCAGTTTCAAAGTTTGAACTGCATAAAACTACTTAAAGTAAAAAAGAGTCCCTCTTCAATATATACTTTGTAATTGTTCTTTTTTCATTTTAAAATAGGTATAATTTACATTTGGTATAATATACCCTTGTTAGTGTGCACTTCTGTAAGTTTTCACAAATGTATACAATTGTGTTAATCACCATGATCAAGCTATAGAACAGCTCCATCACCCAGTGAAATTACCCCACCTATAGTCAGCCTCTCCCAGTCTCCACCAAGGATGTGATTTCTGTTCCTAGTTTTGCCATTATAGAGTCATATAAATGGAATCATGGAACATGTAACCTTTTGAGTCTGGCTTCTTTTACTTAGAAAGATTCATTTGAGATTCATCTATGTTGTAGTTTCTTCCATTTTCTTACTGGGTAGTATTCTATATGGATGTACCATTGTTAATTTTGTTGACAGGCATTTAGATTTTTCATTTTTGGGAAATTATGAATAAATCTGCTAAAAGCATTCTCAAATATGGTTCATGTGAACATAAATTTCAATTGCACTTGGCTAATACCGAGTAGTAGGACTACTGTGTTATATGGTTAGCGTAAGTTTATAAGAAATGGTCAAATTGTTTTCCATAGTAACTGTATCATTTTACATTCTCACTACCAGATATCTGGACCCATGCCAACACTTAGTATATATATATAAGTGTGTGTATGTATATATGTAAAATATGCTTTATTTTTAAAAGTATGTGTGTGTGTATATACATATTTATATATATATATATCACTCCTTTTTAAAAAATCTAACTTAAATCTCATCAGTATTATGATGGATTGTTCTAGCTACTTGGATTAATACTGACATTAGTGGTGTATAGTGGCATTTAATGGTTTTAATTTGCATGTTCCTTAGCTAATGACATTGAGCATCTTTTTTTGTGTGCTTATTTGCCATCTGGTGAATTACCTATCAAATCCTTTGCAAGTTCATTAAATATTCTGGATACAAGTCCCTTATCAAATATATGATTTGCAAATATTTTCTCATAGTCTATGGCTTATATTTTTCATCTCTTAAGAATGTCTCTTGAAGATCAGAGTTTTTTATTCAGATATAATCTAATTTATCAGTTTTTGTTTTATGGATTATACTTTTGACATCAGAGCTAAGAAATCTTTGCCCAACCTAGATTCACAAAGATTTTGCCCTATATTTACTTCTGGCAGTTTACTGTTCTACATTTTGTATTTAGGTCTATATCTCAATTTGACATAATTTTGGTATATTATATGGACTGAGATTAATTTTTTTGGAATATGGATATCCAGTCATTCCAGATATCCACTATTGTTGTAAAAGCATTATCTCCATTTGTTGCTATTTCTGGTTTCTCTCTCTTTTCGCCAATATCACACTGTCTTGATTAGTCTAGCTTTATAAATAATAGGCTTATAATAAGTAATGTTAATCCTTCAATTTTGATATTCTTTTTCAAAATTGTTTTGGTTAATATATACTTTTTTGCCCTTCCATGTAAATTTTAGATTCAACTTGTTTAATTGTACAAGAAAATCCTCCCATGATTTTCTTATTTGGATTGCATTAAACCTATGGTTTTGAGAGAATCAACATTTAATGATATTTCGTTTTCCAATCCATAAACACAGTACATCTCTCCATTTATTTATATCTTTTTAAATTTATTTCATAAGAATTTTATGTTTTCAGCATAAAGATATTGTGCATATTTAAAAATAGTTTATGCCCATGTATTTCATGTTTTGGTGTTATTGTAAGTGGTTATTTTAAATATTTTAATTTCCAATTGCTCATTGTTAATAAGGAGAAATATGATTGATTTTTGTAGATTGACCTTATATCCTTGCACCCCTGTTAAATTCACTTACTGCATCTAGTTTCCTTTTGTATATTCTTTGGGATTTTCTACATGAATAAATCACCCATCTAGACCTAGGGATAATTTTACTTGTTCCTTTCCAATATGTATTTATTTTATTTATTTTCCTTTCCTTATTGTACTGGTAGGACCCCCAGTACATTAATGTTGAATAGGAATGGTAAAAGAGGACATCTCAGCTTGTTTCCAATTTTAGGGGGATAAAAATCCAAACTTTCATTATTAGATATGTAATTGTAGGTATTTTATAGATGTCCTTTATCACGTTAAGGAAGTTTCCTTCTATTCCCAGTTTACTGAGTTTTTATCATGAATTGGTCTTGAATTTTGTTCAATGCTCTTTCTGCAACTATTGAGATGAATATAAGGATTTTCTTCTTTAGTGTGTTGATATGGTGAATTTCACTGTTTCATTTTTGAACTAGCCTTGGCAATCCTAGGATAAGCAATTCTCGATTATGATGTGTTATCCTTTTTATATATTGTTGGAGTCATTTGGCAAGTAGGTTCTTGAGGTGATCAATCTGGAGCTTCATTATCTTTTAATGTATCTTGTTTTGGTATCTAGTAATGCTGTCATTATAAAATGAGTTGCTTGGCTCTTGCGGATGCTGCTGATAAATGCCAGGGTGGTGCTCAAATGTAAGCTGGGAGAGCAGACAACCAGGGCTTTGAGGAGTCAGGCAGCCCAGCACAGGTGATAACACCCAGGAGATCTTACTGAGCCTTGGATACTATCAAATCTTCATCACCCTGGAGAGCGTCTTCATGATGTCCTGTTGGATTGGGCTGTTTGGCTCTTGAGCTCCAGAACCAGGAACACACCTGCCCAGATGCCCAGTCTCTGTTTCTCCATTCTTAAAGACTTCAAAGAAATATTTTTAACAGGGATATTGGTGACCTTTCCAGAAAGCCCAAGCTTGTGGTGGGTGGAAAAATGTTTACCACGATGCATACAGTTTCCCAGCCATGATGTTCTTTTCTTTTCAAAGATATTTTCATGTTGGTGTCTGAATTGAAATGCTGTCTAAGGAATTTCAGGAGGATTTGTATGAGGGGTTGTGATAACATTGCATTCCTCACAGATTTTTTAAAAAAACATGTCTAGATTGTTTTATCTTGTTGGAATCCTTCTAACACCAAGCTTTCACTAGAAACCTGTTTCTGAATATTTCTTCATTTGTTTTTAAGAGCCATCCTTTTGGTTCACACTACACAGATTTTTTTTTATTGTTTTTAATCTAGGGATCTGAGGAGAAAAGTTGGCTTATAAATTTGATACCACCTCTTTATTGGGCAGTGTTATGAATAACAAGTTCATTGGTGCTGAATCTGACAGCAGCGCTGGGACCAGCAAGGGGCCTTGTGTCCAAATTCCTTCCCAGTCTGGGTACGTTTTGCTGGCAGCTTGGGGCAGCTTAGGCAAAGTCATCCTCAGGACTTTGAGGGTGAATTATTATAGATTCCCACAGAACACAGGTGCAAAACAGTTGGCAGGGGCAGATGAGAGTGTGTTGAGAAATTTTGCCTTGCCTTAAATCCCTCTGTTAAATAAAGTAACTTTTGGGGCTACTAATTGTACAATTGCTAGAATGATGTAGTGATATTGTGACTGAGTTTTTAAAGCTTGGGTTTCTGGGTCCATTTTTCAAGTGCCTGATTTCAAGACTGAAAAACAATAAACCTCTTTCTAGGAAATGGGAAATTTTGCACAGAAGCTTCTTTGAAAGGGAGTCCTGATTTAATTGTCAAATGAAATGCAGGTAGTTGCTGCCCAGAATCCCACAGTGGTTTGACTTGTGGTTTTTGAAATCCCAACTTGTACAAAACTGGTCGGAAGAAAAAGTAAGTATGCAGGCTTTTAGAACTAAACAGCTTTGAAAACAAAACTTATTTCTAAAAAGGGAAATGAATACAGTGAGTTGGAAACTCCTTCTGATATTATGGAAGAGTTTTTGTAGAAAGGCTATCATCTTTTCATTAAATGTTTGGTGGGATTCTCCAGGACATTGAAAATATTTGGGCCTATAGTTTTCTTTGTGGGAAGGATTTTAAGGACAAATTCAATTTTCTTAATAGATATGTTAGTATTCAAATTTTCAGTTTTTTTCTTAAATGAGCTTTGGTAGTTGTATCTTTTTAGGACTTATCCATTTCATCAAAACTGTCGAATTTATGACATAACGTTGTTTGTGGTACTCTCTTATTATCCTTAGAATATCTCTAGAAGATGCAGTGATGTCCCCTACTTTATCCTTAATGTGAATTATTTGTATCTTTTTTCCTTCTTGATTAATCTGGCAGAGGTTCATCATTTTTATTGATTCTAAGTATCTTTTGATTTCATTGATTGTGAACTTTTCTTGTTCTTCATTTCATTGGTTTCTACTCTTTATCTTCTTCTGCTTGCCTTGGGTTTCATTTGCTTTTTGTTTTGTTTTTTCTAGTTTCTTAAATTGGACACCTGTAGATTAGGGGTTGGCTAACTACAGTTTGCAGGCCAAATATGGCCTGCTGCCTGTTTCTATAAATAAAGTTTCATTGGAACAGAGCCATATTCATTTATTTATGTGTTTCCTATGCCTGTATGGGGAAAATTAAAGTTCCTATGGCCGGGATCCTCACCTAAAACTAAACTACTTGATGATGTAATTGGCCTACTGCCAGGCTACCGCTTCCACACCCGTAGGCAATAAGCTATTATTGACTGAGTCACTATATAAAGAGCTCTGCCCAGTGCTCTGGGAGGGGGCAGAGGCGAGAGAGGATGACAGACCTGCAGGCTGTTGGATGCACACGGAATTCTAGTGCTTGACCTATCGCCAGGAGAACAAGCTGGATAATAAACTCTTTTAGCCCAAGGACGTTCCATTGTTATTCCTTGGTCTCACTGAGTCTATAGTGCACTTGCCTGGGGCTGAAACCCATTGGCAAGACAGACGGCTTTTGTACTACCCTGGCAGAGTGTTGTGATAGAGACCATAAGGCCCACAAAGTGCAAAATACTCGCTATTTGACTCCTTATAAGTAAGGCCTTTATACTCTTTCAATCCCTGCTTCAGATAATTGATTTGAGATCTCTTTCTTTTCAAATATACTTTACTGTATGTATTTCTCTCTAATACATAAAGGGAGGAAGCACCCTGGGACTGAACTCTCAAGAAAGACTTAGCTGATGTCTTTAACATCCACATGCCTCAGGCCATAATTGGTGATTTGGGACAAACAATGGTATGTGGGCACAAAGAGCAATAGTGGGTATCGGAAGAAGGTCAGAATCCTGTGCAGATGGTAGACGCTAAAATCTCTAATAATGAAATGGAAGGTATGAAGATAACAAGAGCTGTAGGGAGACCCTGTGTTCTTCTGTGTCAGGCACTAACCACACTACAGCAAGGTAGGATGAAAAATGACTCAGGTTACTAGTTTAACTGAAGAGCTGGAGTAACTACAGGAAGGACTCATGGAAAACATCCAGATTGTATAGAGAAAATAAACATTCAATCACTGGAGTAACTATGGTGCTATTTTTCAGAGAGGGACACCATCACCTTGATCACTTATCAAATGGATACATCATCTTCACACAAAATAACAAGAGTTTTAATAGCCAGATGGCCCTCTTTTCTATAACTTCATGCAGTTCTATTGCTGTTCTCACTGAGTTTTGGAATAGCAGGTGAAAATAGGTGGGAGGACACTTTAAACTATCTGCATAGATTTGTTTTGGTCTTTGTCACTGAACTCTTCGACTTCCAGCTCTGGACCTACCAGTTAGCACTGTTCACACAGGCTCTTGGCTGTTTCATACACATCTTTTACTACATTGGCCACATTACAGATGGGATTAATACTTCTTAGGTGTTTAGGGTGAGCAGGATTAGTATCACTACCAAACAAAAGTGTGCGCTGATTCACAAGCATGTGGCAAGAGATGCAATTGGTATAAAACCAATCCAGAAAATGCTGGATGTTACTGTTAATGAAAGGATTAATCCCATACTTTATTCTTATACTCAATCACTCCATATATCATTATAGGAACTACATCTTTGTTTCTATTTCTGACTCTAATCACTTGTAGAAAGTTATCCAAGACTTGTGGATCTGCAGGGATCTTACTTCATGTTTTAAAAGTTAAAGAAACTTATGCATATATCAATTTTTAACCAAGTGGCATTGAGGGCCAGTTAAATAATCCATCAGAAAATTGAATCCTCTTATTGTGTGAGCAGGAATTACATTCCTTTTGTAGAATCATATATGATGTTTTCTCACATCATTATCCTTCCCAAAGTCCAAAAATTGCTTGATAGAAAGTAGTGACAGCAAGAAGCACAAATAATACTTGATCTACTTGGGCACCAGCTACTTCATCAGCCACTGGAAGAGCCGTATCATCCCTGGAGTGGTGCACTTAGATGCCTGGGTGGACATGAGGGTCTGTGCAGTGGAGTCATTTGGGTAGACATGTTCTTTATGAATGCACCCTGGTTTTAGCCTCAGACTCAGCCTTGGCCTATGAGTGCCATCATCACAGCAGCTCCCAGGCTGAGTTCACCACCCAGGGCTCCCAGGGCCGCACCCATCCCTTTATTTTAACTCATCTATGCCTTTGTATGTAAAGTGGGTTTCTTATAGATAACATATAGTTCAGTCTTGATTTTTACATCTATTCTGGAAATCCGTCTTTTAATTGGTGTTATTAGACCATTAACATTTAATGCAATAACTGATACAGTTGTATTCAATCTACCATCAAGTTGGTTTCTATTGTTTCCATCTCTCATTGTTCCACTTTCCTTTTTCTGCCTTCAATTCATATTATTTTTTTAAGATTCCATTTTATCTCCACTATTGGCTCATTAATTATACTTAAAAATTTTTTAGTATTGTCCCTAGTGTTCATACTATACACTTTAATTAATCACAGTCTACTTTCAAATAATAGTATACCACTTTGTATGAAGTGTGGTAATTTTCTTTTTACCATTCCACAATAGCTCTTGGAGAAAAATTATTATCTGGATTCATAAATATTAAAAAAATACTGTCTGGATTCATGGCTGTGGTATTAAGACCGTTTCTTTTTTTCCCCCCTTATTTTATCATCAAAATGTTTATAGGAAAAACATGGAAACCTTATATATAAATGTGACCAAAATAATTGGGAAATGAAAGGTAGTCATTGTTGGTAGTGTTCACATAGCCTTAAATTTCATTGACATGGTGTAAAAAAATAGTTGATTGTTTGCCTTTTGGTTTCAGATATTGCAGCTGTAGAAGAATGGTTAGTAAGAATCACTTTACAACAGGGATTCGATATTTATACTACTGAAGGAACACTATTGGATAGTATTCGAGGTAAATGCTAATAGATAAAATGGAATTTATAATATTCTTTCCACATACCTTATAACCTACCATATGCCAGACCCTATGCTAAGTGCTGGAGGTAAAAAATAAGAGACAATCATGACCCTTGAGGTGTTTTAAGCAGCAGTGTATTATTCTGATTTATGCTTTAAAAAAAAATGATCACTTTGGCTGCAGTGTAGAGAACTGACTCTGGGGGAAGGATGGCAGTAATGGAATAAAGGAAACTGATTGGCAGCTGTTGCCATAGTCCACTCAGGAGATGGTCTGGAGTACCTGGGCTGTGGAATTGGGTGGAGATGATAAGTAAGAGTCTTCAGAATATGTTTTGGAAGTAAAGCTGATAATGACTTCTTGGTGGGCCTGGGATGAGGGAGAGACATCAAGAATCCAGATTTCTTACTTGAACAATCAAGTGGATTGTATCATTTGCTAAAATGTTGAAGATGCAGTGGCAATCAAGGCTTAGGGCTAGAGTTACAGTTACAAATGTTTATATACTACTAACTCTAAAGAAAGGTTTAAAAATAACATCCCTACTGCCTAATCTCCAATCCATACCCCAGACCACTCCACTAAAACCACTCTTACTCACAATCACCAATCGCCTTCATATTGGTCACTTCTCTGTGTCCTTCTTAGTTTCTCAGTAGCAGTCCAGACTTTTAATCACTCCCTCATTATTAAAATGTTTAAAATACAATATCTGATTAAGGAGCTTGTACACAAGAGGTGTTTTCAATTTAATGCAGTCATGTTCCAGAAGTGAGCTCAGATCTCCCTGTGCTCTAAAATCTAGGTATTAATTGCCTACACACACATGCTATACCCTGGAAAGTCAGCCGCTTGTTTCAAATCCTTTGAATTTCAGGGTGAATTGGTATGCTGATAAATTGTGTCTGTTTCCCTTCTTGACCATCCCTGTGCTATCCTATGTCAACCCAGATGGAATCTTACCCCCATTTCTTGCTTTGCACAAAGTAGAAAATATCACCTAAAGTCTTTGGTTTTGTAGCAGATTTTATTGAAAATTTGGGGAGGTGAAGGAAATTTACATTACAGAAATATAAACAGTTAAAGAATTGATCATTAGAGATCTCTGTTCTTAAAAGCCCTTTAACTATTTTTTGAAATTCAGATGGTATGATTCTGTCAAATTGCCCTGGCTTACTTTTTGTACTCTCTTCTCATTTTTTCAGAAGAAAAAAAAATCCCCCCCCCCTTTTTTTTTTTGTCATTAAAACTTGACTCCATCCAACTTCAACTCTTTGCTTATCCAAAACTAGATTGTTGAGTGGAAGGGTTGAAGTTGTCACAGCTCTGACTGGTTTTTCCTGTTATTCCCAGCCCCTCTTTTTTGCATCATTCAGAAATTCCTCTAAGCATCTCTGCTGCTAATCATAACTTTCCCTGTTCTCTGCCTTTCCAGATTTACTCCTTTTTGTATCTCTATTGCTGTTTCAGTGGGACTGGGGGAAGAGAACAAAAAGTGAATTGTGGGCTCTTGAAGCATAAATTGTTCTCTAAATTGTAAATGTGCATATCCTGTGATCGAACGATTCCCTTTCTAGAGATAGATCCTGCAGCCACTTATATTTTCCAAAGATGGCCCAAGGAGTATCTCCTATCCCACGCCCTCTTCCACAGTGTGACTTTGCCAGGCCCCCTGCAGAGGCAATTAGACTTTATTCCTCCTACTCTGGAAAATACTCTTGGCCTGATTTTAACAGATGCAGAATGAGGTAATACACCCACCTTTTTGACAGTGGAATAGTTCCTTCGCATAGTTCCTTTAAAGCCTTTAAAGGAAAGCAGCGATGTTTCATTTTCAAGAATGCTGCCACAATTTAAACACCTGAACTTGATTTTCACAGAACCTATTCTTCAGTGGAAGCTTGGGACTGTGATGACAAAAAACAGTGTCAGTAGATTATATCCACATGTGGTAGATCTCAAAGTGACAAAATGCCCCTGTGCCAGTGATGTAGCATTGCTTGGCTTCAATGCAGCATATGATGGTAAGTTCATAGCCTCATTGAAAATTGAAGGTGTCATACAAGTTAATGCATGGAAATAATGGAGTAAAAATGTTTCCTTAAAATACCTAAGAATTTACTCTTTGTCACTTCACCTTGTCAACTTGCAAATGTGATATACCATTTTTTCTGTGACTTTTGGCTATGTTAATAGTGACTTCAGTGTCTCTTTTAATTTTTTTCTCTGCATCCATTAATATGTTAATTTCTACCAGAGATTATTATCTGTATAATAGATATTATTCTAAGGTATCACAACATTATTTTATTATGTATGCATTTTTCCATTACTACTATATATAATATTTTAATACACCCTTACACATTTTAACTGCTAACCATATTATTCTAGTTGTTTTTCCTAGGTCATTGATGAACTCCTAGACCCCAAATACTATGAATATAAAGAAAAAAAGAATTAAAAGATAAGAAACAAAATTTCATTACCCATAGATAATATGTATATATATAAAAAATCCAAAATAATTAACAAACTATCAGAATATGGGAGGGCTACAAAGTTGAGGGATATAATAACTATATATATATATATATACCACTCCATCAAAGACCAATTAAAGATTATAACTTTAAAAATCCTATTGAGAAAGTAAGAAACACCAAAAGGAATAAACCAAAAAAATAGGTTGCAAGGCCTGTTGTGCAGAAATTATAAAAGTTTAATGGAGGTCATAAAAAAGACTAAAAGAAATAATATATTTTATGTTAATGAACAGGAAGTTCTAGAATTATAAAGATGTTAATTCTCCCAAAATCTATCAATAAATTTGATACAATACCAAGAAAAATCCCAACAGCATTTTATGTGTCTGTAGAAATTGGCAAGCCAATCTCAGAATTCATAGGGGAGATTGAAACTACATGAAGAACAAATATTTTAAAGAAGAATAAAAAGAACAAAAACTTGTCCTACCATGACTTATTTTAAATAAATGGATTCAAACACTGTGCATTCATGTAAGGATAAACAAAAAGGCTTGCCCCGAATCTCTTTGAATTCCTAATGGCTTATAGTCCTTTTGTTATCTCACGCTTTGAGCACCTGCCTCTGCTGAATTTTTCTAAAAATTGTGTCTCTTTCCCCTCTGTCAGCCAGAAGAAACTGAGCTCCTTTTCTGGCTTTGTTCTGTGGATGCCAGGCTAGTAGCTCCCTCTCCTCCCCTCTCTCCAAACCTGCCTTACCTCCAGGAGCCACAGGAGAAGAGCCCCCTCAACTCCTTGTGCCCAATTCTGCCACCCACTGAAAGTTACAGGAGGGCAGGCGAATCTCAAAAACTTGGGACCTCACTCCGCAGACTGCCTCATCGTCTTGACAAAAGAAATAGCTTTGGCAGCCTGTTTTTTGTAGATAAAACAATCTTTTCTCCAGCTGTCCACCACTGTACTGAAGCAACAGTTCCCACAGTATCAAGCCACATGGAGCTGAATGGTGGGAACAGGTATCTAGGAGCCCAGGTGCCCACCTTCCCCATCTGTGGTGCTCCTAACACACCCATCATGCCCCTCCTCCCAGTTTTTTAAAATTAAGGTATCATTGATACACAATCACATGAACAACATTATGGTTACTAGATTCCCCCAATTATCAAGTGCCCACCACATAGCCCATTACAGCCACTGTCCATCAGCGTAGTAAGATGCTGTACAGTCACCACTTGTCTTCTCTGTGCTATACTTCCTTCCATGTGCCCCCCTACATTATGTGTGCTAGTCATAATGCCCCTTAATCCCCTTATCCCTCCCTTCCCACCCACCCTCCCCAGTCTGTTGCCCTTTAGTAACTGTTAGTCTATTCTTGGGTTTTCTGATTCTGCTGCTGTTTTGTTCCTTCAGTCTTTCCTTGTTCCTATACTCCACAGATGAGTGAAATAATTTGGCACTTGTCTTTCTCTGCCTGGCTTATTTCATTGAGCATAATACCCTCTAGCTCCATCCGTATTGTTGCAAATGGTAGGATTTGTTTTCTTATTATGGCTAAATAGTATTTCATTGTGTATATGTACCAATCTTCTTTATTCATTTACTGATGGACACTTAGGTTGCTTCCAATTCTTGGCTATTGTAAATAGTGCTGCAATAAACAGGGGTGCATCTGTCTTTCTCAAATTGGGCTGCTGCATTCTTAGGGTAAATTCCTAGAAGTGGGATTCCTGGGTCAAATGGTATTTCTATTTTGAGCTTTTTGAGGAACCTCTATACTGCTTTCCACAATGGTTGAACTAATTTACATTCCCACCAGCAATGTAGGGGGGTTCCCCTTACTCCACAACCTCACCAACATTTGTTGTTGTTTGTCTTTTCGATGATGGCGATCCTTACTGGTGTGAGGTGATATCTCATTGTGGTTTTAATTTGCATTTCTCCGATGATTAGCGATGTGGAGCATCTTTTCATGTGCCTGTTGGCCATCTGAATTTCTTCTTTGGAGAACTGTTTGTTCAGATCCTCTGCCCATTTTTTAATTGGATTATTTGCTTTTTGTTTGTCGAGCTGTGTGAGGTCTTTATATATTTTGAATGTCAACCCTTTATCGGAGCTGTCATTTATGAATATATTCTCCCATATTGTAGAATGCCTTTTGTTCTATTGGTGGTGTCCTTTGCTGTACAGAAGCTTTTCAGGTTGATATAGTCCCACTTATTCAGTTTTGCTTTTGTTTTCCTTGCCCAGGGAGATATGTTCATGAAGAAGTCGCTCATGTTTATGTCCAAGAAAATTTTGACTATCTTTTTTTCTAAGAGTTTTATGATTTCATGACTTACATTCAGGTCTTTGATCCAGTTTGAATTTACTTTTGTGTATGGGTTAGACAATGATTCAGTTTCATTCTGTTGCATGTAGCTGTCCAGTTTTGCCAACACCAGTTGTTGAAGAAGCTGTCGTTTCCCCATTTTATGTCCATGGCTCCTTAATCATATATTAATTGAACATATATGTTTGGGTTAATGTCTGGACTCTCTATTCTGTTCCACTGGTCTGTGGGTCTGTTCTTGTACCAGTACCAAGTTGTCTTGTTCACTGTGGCTTTGTAGTAGAGCTTGAAGTTGGGAAGTGAGATCCCCCCTGCTTTATTCTTCCTTCTCAGGATTGCTTTGGCTATTCAGAATCTTTTGTGGTTCCACATGAGTTTTAGGACTATTTGTTCCGGTTGGTTGAAGAATGCTGTTGGTAATTTGATAAGGATTGCATTGAATCTGTAGATTGCTTTGGGCAGGATGGCCATTTTGACAATATTAATTCTTCCTAGCCAAGAGCATAGGATGAGTTTCCATTTGTTAGTGTCCTCTTCAGTTTCTCTTAAGAATGTCTTGTAGTTTTCAGGGTATAGGTCTTTCACTTCCTTGGTTAGGTTTATTCCTAGGTATTTCATTCTTTTTGATGCAGTTGTGAATGGAATTGTTTTCCTTATTTCTCTTTCTGCTTGTTCATCGTTAGTGTATAGGAATGCAATAGATTTCTGTATATTAATTTTGTATCCTGCAACTTTGCTGAATTCAGATATTAGTTCTAGTCATTTTGTAGTGGATTCTTTATGGTTTTTTATGTACAATACCATGTCATCTGCAAACAGTGACAGTTTGACTTCTCCCTTACCAATCTGCATGCCTTTTATTTCTTTGTGTTGTCTGATTGCCATGGTTAAGACCTCCAGTACTATGGTGAATAAAAGTGTGGAGAGTGGAAATCCTTGTGTGTGTTCCTGTTCTTACAGGAAAGCTTTCAGCTTTTCACTGTTAGGTGTGATGTTGGCTGTGGGTTTATCATATATGGCCTTTATTATGTTGAGGTACTTGCCCTGTACTATATACCCATTTTGTTGAGAGTTTTTATCATGAATTGGTGTTGAATTTTGTCAAATGCTTTTTCAGCATCTATGGAGATGATCATGTGATTTTTGTCCTTCTTTTTATTACTATAGTGGATGATGTTTATAGATTTTTGAATGTTGTACCATCCTTGCATCCCTGGGATGAATCCCATTTGTTCATGATGTTTGATCCTCTTGGTAAATTTTTGAAATCAGTTTGCTAGTATTTTGTTGAGTACTTTTGCATCTGTGTTCTTCAGGGATATTGGTCTGTAATTTTCTTTTTTTGTGGGGTTTTTGCCTTGTTTTGGTATTAGAGTGATGCTGACTTCATAGAATGAGTTTGGAAGTATTCCCTCCTCTTCTATTTTTTGGAAAACCTTAAGGAGAATGGGTATTATGTCTTCTCTAAATGTCTGATAAAATTCAGCAGTGAAGCCATCTGGTGTGGGGATTTTATTCTTAGGCAGTTTTTTGATTACCAATTCAATTTCATTGCCCTCTCCTCCCAGTTTTATCAGTCACCAGCAGAAACCTCAGCTTCCCGGGTCACTTACAGTTCTATTCTATCCCACACATTGTCTGTACTTGCTTTAATTTGACCCAGTGATTGGAATTTGTGATCTGTCATCAGCAAACTCCCCATATAGCTAGTCTTTTCTCTTAATGGCCCCTTAGCTTTCTTGCCATGAAAAGTAACCTGGCCTTTATCAGTTAACATTCTTTCCCCTGCAGCCCTTTCACATGTCCCATGTCTCAGGGCCAAGGGCAGAGGGCTCATCCTTGGTTCTTAAGGCTACCTCTTAATTATTACTGTCTTCTCCTTCAAAACTTCCAGTTCCTTTAAACTCAGACTTTACCTCCCTCTAATTCACCTTGGTTCCTAGCATATGGTGACCTTCTCGTCACTCACATTCACTCATTGGTGAGTTTAGCCTCTGGACCCCTGCCAACTCCCCACCTATTTTTTGTCACCATTTTCAGTGACTTTGCCATACATTTGGATGACCCACATCATACTCACCTTCAAGGCCTTCTTTCCTTCAATGATCTTTCCCCCATCTTACTTCTGTTGTCATATTCTGAACCTTGTTGTCTCTAATAATGGTACTATCTCCAAAATGTGCACTGTAAGCATCTCACATTGTATACT